AGAGCGAAAGGGGTGGCCAAATGAGATAGGATCATCCTATCCGATTACAAAAGACAAACGAGGGTTAAAAAGAACAACAATGCACAACCATATGCCGAGGACAAAACGCCCTCGTCTTTTCTCGGTTATTTCATAAGAAATGTGTCTGATATTTTATTTCAAACATAACGCCATAATATTTATGGTGCAATTATGCTGACGGGGAATGACAGGGAGAAAGATTCGATTCGACAGCGCTTGGATGAAGTAGAAAAAAGATTCGACTCCGTGTCGAAGATTCGATTTGATTCGACGCGGTTGGCAAAAAAAAACAAAAAATGCTTTGACAGCGATTCGCTGAAAACAAAACACTCGCTTACGTTCAAATGTTGCATTCGATAGTACGTGACTGAAGGAAATAAAAGACTCGATTTTGTACTTAGATTCTATTTGACAGCGATTGACTACAGAAGAATAAATAAATAATGCTGCATGAACCTTTGATTTGACAGTCATTGACACGATTCGTTTCGATTCATCGACATAAATCAAGAAAGATCAAGAAACAACAGCAAACACAGGCACATGTGTTTATTCTTGTTATGATTATGTATTTAGCAGTTTGTAGGCCAGACATGAACACTTCAGTAACGTAAGCTGACTCATTACCGAACCTCAAATAAGTGGTTCATTATTATTCATATAAAAATGTACATGAAAATGAAGCTTCAGAACATGTGCCTATTTGAATGTATATTAAGCACTGTTTTATAATGTAATTACACGTAATATAATTAACTTAAGTTAATAGTTAGATAAGAGTCTCATCACATTTTGTGGTCAAGTTGATCAACTTTACAGCTCATTTGCTTGCAGAATAGCCCTGATTTTATAGGCATTATAAAATCCCAGTTGCACAGTGAAATCCATTTGGCTATGCGGACGGACTCATCAAATAGTCTTCAGGTGCTTACAATCCAGACCGAAGACTTTCTGCATTATGCATTATATTGATCAACAATAAATAGGTGAATGAATAAATACATGGTAAACAGGGCAAAACTGACATGTCCTAAGAAACACTGCCACCTTGTGGCAATACAACGTCTGTATATTAACACAGAATTAACACTGAAATGTATTATTATTACCATGAACTGCACAAGACGAACTATATTCAAAATTATTTCCAAAGTATTTAATTAAACTGAAAACTTTAATCTTTGGTGTAATGCAAATACATTCACCTAGTCAAATAAATATTTACTCTAGTTAAACCTCTGAGACTTTTTGTCTTCAATTTAGAATTTTATATGCAATGTACATTTTCAAACATATATTCGTGTCCAAAACACATTCATATACATGCAAATAAAATCAATTAGATGTAGCTGTAATTTTGAACTGGCTTTAGCCTTGTCACATAGCCCCACCTTCTCCCCATAGGTGCATTGACAGATTATCTGAGGCTGTTATTGGCAGTCTTTCTCCTTCTCTGGAAGTTTTAATTAATTTTCCTGCTGTAAAAAATCATATAAAGTCAGCGGGAGCCTGAAGCTGCCTTTCTCAATATTCTGCGGTCTTGTAAGGAGCAGTGCAGGGCCACACGGGGTCGGAGAAATCTTTGATGAAGATAATAGGGTTGTACGTAAAAAGGTCGTAAGAGAGGAATATAAAGTAATTCTTAAATTCAGAAAGGAAGATGAACAGGTTAATCTAAGTCCAATAGCATTGTCTAGAGAGTTGAAGAAAAAGTTAGGAGAAGTGGATACGGCTAAGATTTTGAGAGATGGAAGCCTGTTAGTAATATGTAAAACAGAAGAACAAAAAAACAAAGCACTAAAAATTGATAATGTTTGCAAGAAAAAAGTGAATGAAAGGAAGATGTTGGGTGAGAGACGAATGAAACAGGGAGTGATAACAGGCATCGAAGAAGGTTTGTCAACCGCCAATAAAATTTCAAGAAGAAGAAGAAGAAGAAGGCAATGGCAAATGTGCTCATGTGACAGTGAAAAATGTGCACAGGTGATCTGGCATCGTATGTCGCCTATTCCCATTGTTGTAGAGCTGTTTAGTGAATTGTTAGACATGAGAGGCACAAGAGAGACACACGCTCACTATCAATAAATAAATAAAATGCTGTCATCACTTATTCACTCTGTTGTTCATCACATGCCTTGCTTTTTTCTGCACAACACAAACATGTTAATGGCAATGTTCACGCTGCACTTTTGCATTTTTTTTTTTAATTACTGTATGACAATGTTGTCTGATTCCCTAATGAATAACTCTAGCCTAATGATCCAGCTCAACAAATAGTGCGATTGGTGTAGTTCGATTCCTAATCGAATGACTATGACTTATCTGGTTCTTTTTTTTTTTTGCAAATCAAAAGCATGACCAGTGTAGTCCGACTCCCTTAAAACTGACTCTTGCAAACAAGCAGCGTATTCCTCCAAATAATACATCTCAACCAGTGTAATCCAATTCCTGTAATAACTCCGATAAAACTTGATTTAGTGAATCAAACCAAACAACCCAGTCAGTGTAATCAAACTACTTTCCAAATGAATGACTTTTATGAACCGGTTCTTTTTAGTGAATCAAAATCATGTGGTGCAATCGGTGTAGTCCGATTTCTGAATGAATGATTCTTATGAGCTGGTTCTTTTTTGTGAATCAAAAACATACAGTGGCTGTGTCCGAAATCGCCCCCTATACCCTCATTCACTATTCCCTACATTAGGTCACTAATTCAGTTCACTAGAAGGAGCGAATGAAAACGAGTAGCCTAGTGAATTCGGACACTGAGTGCACCGGAAGAAATGCCGCTTTTGCATAGTTTGTGCTTGCTGTTTATTAATCATTTGAAACTAGCAAACTAGCAGCTCCAGTAGTAAGATTAAAGGATTTATCTTGAACTCTGTCACGGAAATGATGTATAAACCCTAATCAAACAATAGCTGCGGGCGCCATCTTCTGGCGAGATGCGGGAATTCATTCGGCGCGTGACTCTCACGGTGCATTATGGGTATTCTCTAGCCGTTGAGCGTGCACCAGTTGTACACTCGTTTTTGCAGTGCATTGTGGGATTGAATGAGTGCACTCGAGAACATCCACTATGGTTTCGGACACCACTAAAAATGGCTGTTCCCTCAAATAGTGCCCTATTTAAGGGTATAGAGGGCGATTTCGGACACAGCCAGTGTGATCTGTGTAGTTTAGGCACCGGTTCTTTTTAGTAAATCCAAAACATACGTTGCAATCTATGAAGTCCAAATTCCGAAGCAATAGCCTTGTTTGAGATGAGCAAAATCTGCGCTGGAAATCAGCTCACAGACAATTTGCGGGCTATATATATATATTTTAATAATTACAATCTTGCTCGAGAACTCCGGTCTGACGCATGCGGGTTGTCGCGTTATTTCCTTATCACTTCTCGCTTGTGTTTTGTTGTGAAACGTAGATTTCAGGCGAGGCGAGGCGCATCTCAAACAAGCCTATTGTCTCTTAAGAACCGACTCTTTTTAGTGAATCCAAAACATATGCTGCGATTGATTCAGTTAGATTCCAGAACTCTTTTTTTCAGTGGTGGACAGTAACGGAGTAGTTTTACTTCGTTACTGTAAAACATATATCAATATATACATATTGATATATACGTATATACTCCTTATAATATATCAAGTGCTCCGACACGCAGAAGCGGTGTCTGATTCATTCACGAACTGATTCTTTTCAATTAACCTTTTAAATCGTTTCGCAAATCGCACCAAACGATTCATTCATGAATTAGAATGATCCGATTGCAGCTGTTCTCGAGTCGACAACTCCCTGATTCAAATGAACCATTTAGTGCGAGTCTCCAGTGAACTGAATTCACAAGACAAGTAAGAACCGGGAGGTCTTGTGAGCGCGTGCGCGACTGATGCTGCTAAAAGTAAGTTACTAATGTCGAATTTTAGGATTCATTATTGTAACTGAAAATCATATTTAGGTCAAAACTGTCAGTTGTTTGTGAACTAAATCTGCTGTAAAGGGTGATCTATTTAAGCCCACTGAAATGCTTGAATTAATTATTGTAACTGAAAATCATATGTAGGTCAAAACTGTCAGTTGTTTGTGAACTAAATCTGCTGTAAAGGGTGATCTGTTTAAGCCCACTGAAATGCTTGAATGCAGACACATCAACATCAGTGTCTCTATGTTTTAGGTAAACCCCCGGAAACATTAAAATAACACAGATTAAAATAACGCATGCACGTTCATATTCCCCGCTGCCGTAACTTTAACAGTTTTATTAAAATGCTATGCATTTAGCCCTATGTGACGTCTGTTTTTATATTGTTTATCAACAGTATACATTTTTATATTGTTTGGATTAACAATATAAAATATTGATTTTAATATTTAATATTGTTAGCTGATGCTAACTGTCTAGCTAACAAGCTTGCTGGTGCTAAGTTGAGGTAATTTTTAGATATAAAGTCCAAATATTTTTATTCAACCACCTAGATAGATTAGATCTGGGGGAAAATAAATTATGTCATGTTCAGAACATGGTAACTACAGTAATTATCAAAGTGGGAAGTGATGCCCTCTGGGGGCATTTGGCCAGGGATGTTTTTACACCACAGACAAGGTTTGAGAAGAAAAAAATCATTATGAAAATATAATTATATTTTCCTTAAAATGTTCTTCCTAACTTCAGGCCTTATTCTCATGTCATATATAAATGTGATGTTCTGCAAAACAACAAGCTTTAAAACACT